GGAGGGTTCCGATCGCTCCACGCCCTTGCCGATGCCTGTCACTGTCTCTTGGTTTGCTTCCCGCCACCCTAGTGGGTGGGAAGTGGGGCGTCCCCCTCCCCCCCCGTGGTCCGGGGTTGCATTTCCACGCCGACGAGTGATCCTGTGCTTGCTGGCCACTCAGATGTCGTCTCCGGAGGGATGTCTGTTCAGGTTCTTTGCTCATTTCCAAAATTCGGTGGTTTCACTTTTTATAATTACTGAGTTTTTATTTAAAGTTTCAGGCACCAGCCCGTCACCGGATACATGCACTGCACACATTTTCCCCCGTTCCGAGGGCCGCCTTTCCACTCTCTTTCTAGTTCCCCGTAGAGCACAGGAAGTTCCTGACTTGGATGGAGCCCAGACTATCTGGTGCTTTACTGCGTTACTTGTGCTTTGAGTATCCTATCTAAGAAACCTCTTCCTGGCTGACCCAAGGTCATGGACATTCACTCCTGTGTTTTCTTCAAGGGTGCTGTCACACTGGCTCGTGTATCTAGGTCCCTGGGGCATTTTCAGGTAACTTTTTCATACGGTGTGAGCGAGGGGTCCAGTTTTGTGCTGTACACGAGAGTATCTGGTCGTCCCAGCGCCGCTTGTCCACCTCTGTCCCGCTGGTGGACACCCTTGTCCAAACCCGACTGGCATGGATGGAGGGGGTCATTTCCGAACTCTCACTTCCGTTCTGTCCATCTGCACGTGCGTCTGTCCTCGTGTCCTCATGCCACGTCCTCCTGTCCTCGGTCTTGTTGACCGTAGCGTCACAGTACCTTTTTTAAAGACTTTATTCATTCAGTTTTAGAGAGAGGGGAAGGGCGGCAGCAATAGAGGGAGAGAAACATCCATGTGCGAGAGAAACATCGATCAGTTGCCTCTCCACGTGCTCCCAGCCGGGGACCTGGCCTGCAGCCCAGGCGGGTGCCCCAAGTGGGAATCACCTGGTGACCTTTGGGTTTGTGGGGCGATGCCCCGCCCACTGAGCCACACTCATCGGGCTTTGTAGTGAGTGTTGAACCCCAAAAGGGTGAATCCAACTTTGTCCTTTCTCGTGGTTGTTTGGGCAATTCTGGATCCTAGAGTCTCCATGTGAATTTTAGGAACAGCTTGTCAATTTTTGCAAAAAAAGAAAAAAAAGGATAGCTGAGATTTTGATGGGGATTGTTTTGGATTTTTTTTCAGCAATGTTTTGAACAACAATGTTTTATATATTTTAGAGTACAAATTTTGTACATTTGTTAAATTTATTTCTACTAAATTTGTTTTTTTAAGATTTTATTTATTTTTAGAGAGGGGAAGGGAGGGAGAAAAAGAGAGAATCAGTGTGTCGTTGCCTCTCACATGGCCCCCACTGGGGACCTGGCCTGCAACCCAGGCATGTGCCCTGACTGGGAATCGAACCTGTGATGCTTTAGTTCGCAGCCTGAGCTCAATCCACTGAGCTACGCCAGCCAGGTAAATTTGTTGTTTTTGATGCTACTGTAAGTAAAGTTGTTGTTTTTTTTAGTTTATTTTCAGATTGTTCATTGGTAGTATATAGAAATACAAATAATTTTTGTATATTGATCCTATACTATGTAACTTTAACTTGTGTATTAGTTCTAATAGTTTTTTTAAGATGTATTTATTTATTTTTAGAGAGGGAAGGGAGGGAGATAGAGAGAGAAATATCAATGTGCGGTTGCTGGGGGCCGTGGCCTGCAACCCTGGCATGTACCCTGGCTGGGAATCGAACCTGCGATACTTTGGTTCACAGCCCATGCTCAATCCACTGAGCTACACCAGCCAGGGCTAGTTCTAGTAGTTTTTTTATTGGATTCCTTAGGATTTTCTGTAGTTGAGACCCGGGTCATCTACAAATGTAGTTTTTCTCCTTCCTTTCCAATTTGCGTGCCTTTTATTTCTTTCTCTTGCCGGACTGCCCTGGACAGAACCGTCAGCACAGTGCTGAGTGGGAATGTGAGAGCTCAGGCATCCTCTTCCCCTTCCTGCCCTTGAAGGGGAAGGACGCCCGGTCTCTCGTCACGAAGTGTGGTCACGGCTGTGGCTCCTGGTGAATGCCCTCGCCCAGACTGAGGAAGTCCCTTCCATTCCCGCTGTACTGGAGGTTTTCACCATGGAGAGCTGTTGGATTTTGTCAGATGTGTGTTCTGTGTCTTTTCAGATAGTTACGTGGTTTTCGTCCCTTTTTCTGTTCATTAATTGATTTCCTGATGTTAAACCAACCTTGCATTCCTGGGACACATCCCATTGGTCGGTCCGAGTGTGTCGTGATTTCCAGGTGCTGCCTCTTCCAGGTTGCTGGTGTGTTTTTCTGTATTTTCGCGCGTCATGGGTGCTACGAGCATCTGTATTCATAAGAGATGCGGGCCTGTGGTTTGTCCTCTTGTGATGTGTTTGCCAGGTGCCGGCTCCTTGTGTCTTCTGCTGTGTTAGCGAGCACGGGCAGGACAGACGGACGGACCAGCTCCCCTCCTCCTGCACTCGCCCACGCCCAGTGGACGGGCGGCAGAACTCTGCACCGAGTCCAGACAGTGGGCGCAGGAGGACTCGTGGGTGCGCCCAGCCTCGCTGTGACGCGGGAGCGGAAACCCAGGTGGCTGCCTGGAGGCGGGGGCCAGGCCTCTGGCCTCTGTGCTGCATCCTCCTGTTCTGAGCCCCACAATGCCACGACAGTGAGGGCACCCACGGGGGACACCCCGTGCTGGCCTCGAAAGGACAAGGAGGGACCGGGGCCGCCGCCCTCTGAGTTCCCTCCTGGCTCTCAGCCCCAGCAGTTTGACTCATGATGACGAGCACAGTGGCCCAGCCCCCGGGAGGCAGCCGGCCCAGATGCCTTGGAGACCAGGAGAGGAGAGGGGTGTCCTGGCCCAGAGGCCCGCTGGGTTCGTGGCCAGGCCCGTGGGGAAGGATGGGTGTCAGGTGTCGGCTGCCAGTGTGCAGGCTAGGTCAGAGAAGGCTCTGGAAGGGCCTCCCCACTCTCGGGCCCCACAGGAACGCAGATCCCTGTGTTGAGGCCCGGAAGCCAGCAGGGCCCTTTAGGGGCTGCACGGGCAGCAGCTCTGCGGGCCCTTCCCATGCACGGCTCTGCACGCAGCCGAGTGGGCGGCTCTGTGAATGAGAGCCATGGATTCCCAGCCTCCCCTACCCCGGCCGGGGATGCAGCCACCAGCTGGCAGCGTGGCGCAGGCGGGGCTCTGGCAAGCCCTCGGCTTCAGGTGCCTTGTTAGACGGTCACCGGACTCCCTGGGTGACCTGGAGGCGGTTACTTCCTTCCCCAGCTCTCCGAGCGTGGCCTGGACGCACACACTGGGCAGCCGTGGGGCGGGAGCCCCGGCCCCAGGTCTGGGTCCTCCAAGAAGCCAGGGGCCCTCCCCTCTGCCGACTCTCCGTTCCCCCCTGGGGCCACTGGCTCCCTTTCCGTGGCTGCTGCTCAGGACAGAGGCCCGAGGTCCTGGAAGAAAGCCCCCGAGACAGGCCGGGGAAGAAGCGAGTGGGCTGCCCCTGCTCACTGCCGCCCAGGCATCTCGTGCTGACAGCTCCCCCGTCATGGTCTCCCTCCCACCCCCCACCCCCCCCACTGGTTGGCGAGCTGGGGAGGCGGCACCGGGGGAAAGCCGGCATCTGTTGGGCACCCGGCTCGCCTGCCGTGCAGGGTATGATGTAATCCTGGATGCTGCGGTTGCCAGGAAGATTCTGCCTGCAGTGATGTTGCGTGGTCCCGGGGCTGAGGGATTGGGGCGAGAATAGAATGTTCCCGAGAAGACACAGGAAAGATCTGCAGGGCTTCCCAGGCAAAGGAGCCCCATCCCAAGGAGCCAGGCAGTCCGAGCTCCTTCCCAGAACCCTACTCCCCTGTTCAGAGGGAGCGGCTCAGAACCCCGCCTGGGCAGGGCAGGCGGTTACCGCGCCTTGTGCCTTGGCGCCAAATTGAAGGCACGTCCCTACCTGGTCCATCCTGGTGGACAGGCCCTCCTCTGCCGCACCTGCGGCGGGGTGCCCCCTCCACTGTCCGTGAAGCAGGACAGGTGGGAAGGAGGTCCGTAGGGGACTGCCAGCGTGGAGGAGAGGGTGCCCCGCACGCGGCATGGCCGAAGCAGCCAGCACCGGGCCTGGGGGTGGAACCCGGCGCACTCTCGGCTCGTTTCTCGAGCCAGAAGCTCCGCCGCGCACCTCCCACGCCGGCTGGCCCTCCGGTGGCCTTTCTGTGTCTGCCGTTCCAGTCCTCCCCTCCCGGGAGAATTCCTCCGGCCAGCACAGAGGACGAGGATATCCCAAAGGCCGCGGGCACCTGGCTGCCCTTTAGAAAGAGGGAGAAAGTGGCAGGATGGGGGGCGGGGGGGCCAGGGCCCAGGAGGCGAGGTAGGACCGCCGGTTGCCTCCCCTGCCCCCCCCCTTGCTTTGCTGGCTGCGTGTCAGAACCTGTCCGACGGAAAACAGGACAAAGGAAGTGAGTTCATGAGTAGGCCTGGACCAGATTCTCAAATCCACAAGAATTATAAAGATTATGGCCATTATCTGTCTCCATAGGAGCCGGGCCAACAGGCGGGCTGGAGACAGGCCTGTCCGCGCTCCTGGAAACAGGTGTCGGGTTTGGCGAAGAGGAATGGCTCCGAAGGGTCCCTGGCTTTGGCGGCTTTGGAGCAGGGGGTCCGATGAGCAGGGCCTGGCTCCAGGACCAGCAGCAGCCCTGGTCCTCCCGCACCTTCTCAGCTGCGTGGCCTTGAGCAGGCCTGAGCCTCACCCCCGGCCCACAGTCCCGCGGCCCCGTGGCCCCACAGCAGGGGGGTTGGCGCACACCCTGGCCAGGCCGCCAGGAAGGCCCAGAGGGGAGGCAGGCTTCCTCGGAAGCACTTTGCACTGGAGGCAGGGGTGAGAGGGGGGATGGCCACTACCCCTGAGGGCCAGGCCTCCTGGCCAGGTCCCAGGCTGCAGCTGGACGTCCGGGGCCGGCCCAGCAAGCCTCTTCCCTTGGTCTGCAGGCGCAGAGGACGTGGTGATGGCGTTTTCCAGGTCGGAGACGGAGGACCGGAGGCAGTAGCGACGGACCCCTCGGAACACCCTGAAAGCTGGCAAGGGCCAAGCGATCCGCGTGGACCTCGTCCGGCCGAGTGGCAGCAAGCAGGTCACCTTCCCCACCCTCAGCACCCCGCCCACCCCGCCCCACGGCCAGGCCACTCGGCGGGGCCACGTCCAGGGAGACTCCGGAGGTGTGGTCCTCGTCGGCTTCAGGGGACGGACTCACGATTGGCTGCAGGAAGAAACCTTTTTATTTTGAAATCTTGACCAACAGAAACCTTTTATTTTTATTTCTGACTCTTACTTTTTTTTTTTTTTTTTAATTCGCTCTTCGGTATATATATGGCTTCCCAAGAAGCTCTCCGAGCTCCGGTGCTTTATTTGGGTCACTTTTTAGGAACGTGAAGATGTCGGATGGGCTGGCTGATGGGAAACAGCGTTTTTCTCTGATTGGCTGCAGGTGTTCTGCCGACGGCACCAGCTTCTTCTCTCTTTTGAATGCTGAAAACAGGGTTTGGGACATTGGTTGTTATATTTGACTTGAAAAGAAAAAAAAGAAAGAAACCAAGTGCGCTTTGCAATATTTATTACACAGAGCTTGCTGCTTTTACATGTTTTGTGTTTGCATTCGATTGGCTCTCGGTAGGTGTGTGTTTTCGGTTTCCCATCGGCTCGCCCGTGACCCCTTGTTGGCACGGCCTCTCCCCACCCTGCCCAGAGCGGTCCCTCTGCGGCTGCACGGTGCATTTGCTTTCATGGCCACGCCTGGCTCTGCCGGCAAGGGGACCTCGAGGACCCCAAGCAGGATCCACCGCTGGAAAATGGGGTCCCCCAGGAGATTTGCGTTGTCGTGAAGGAGCGGCCCCGGGGCTTAGAGGTGACTGACTGTCAGGCAGGATTTACATGCATCGCTCCCAGCAGCTGGCAGCCAGCCAGCTTCCCCAGCCGGGGTGGGACTGCTCCACCGCCAGCCAGCCCCTCTGGCCCGCCTGTGCTGAGCCGAGGCGTGTGGCACGGGGCTGCTCCTGCACAGCTGTGATACCCCACCGTGTAGCACAGGTCTCTGCTTAGGGGCCCGGAACCCACCCCCACACAGACCCCAGCTGGGCCCACAAAGCCTGCCAGTGCTTTGACCCCAAACACCACCCCCCTGCCCCCCCAGCAAGGCTCCAGAGGCATCTGCCACCGGGGCCGGGGCCGCAGGTCCCGGCCAGCACCCGGGTTCTCTCATCCAGGCCTGTGCCTCTCACTGCTCCGCCCTCCAAAGGGTCTCCCCGTGTCAGCGGGGAAGAGACAGCGACGGTGTTTGTTTATGGAGTGCTTCCCTGAGCCAGGCCTGCTGGGCTGGCGCTCCAGCCCAGCCTGAGAAACAGCTTGCAGTCTTCCCACCTGCCCTCCCCCGCCCCCTGGGGGCAGCCTGCCCCCTCCCCATCTCTCACAGGGGCGGGATCTGAGTGCGGAGGTGGAGGGAGATGCTGGCCTCTGAGAGGGCAGCCCTCACCCTCCCCTCAGGCAGACGCCCCATTCCTGCCCCCAGGACCCAGAACCAGGAGAAGACTCTCAGAGCCAAACACCCCCCCCTTCTCAGGTCTCGGGCTGCCGCGGAGCACAGGGGCTGACCGTCACAATGTCCCAGGCAGGATCCCCAGAGACCCCTGTGTCTGTGGGAGGGCCACGCTGTGCTGAGTCTCGAGTGTCGGGGGCCTGGACCCCTGTCCTCCTGCTCCTCCACGCACGGCCCCTGGCCCTGGTGGCTGACTGTTAACTGCAAAGGCTGTTGGTCCCCAGGGGACAAGGACTGTGGGGACCCCAGTAGGGGCCTCAGAGCATCTTGCTCCAGGGGGCGGTGTGTGCACACATGTGCAAGTGTGAGCACACACACACTCACAAACACACTCACGCTCAGCTCAGTGCCCTGCAGCTCCAGCGGAGCCCCTGGGGATGGTGCATTTCTCCACCCACCTCCCCCCAGGTTGCAGCGTCTGTCGTCAGGTGTAGACGCCAGTGTCGCTGGCGGCCCCTGTCTTTGTACCTGTCGCTCCCGTCCGGGATCCGTGCCATGGCCCGTGCTGTGTCCTCTGCCCCAGCCTGTCCTTGTCAAGGTCACGGCCCCCCCACCTTGTAACAGTGGGGGCCTGATCGGTCTCATCTTCTGAAGGAGACAAGTGAAAGTGTTGCCGTGGCTTCTTATTTCAACTAAAAACCTGTATCTGTTGGAGAAGGAAATTAGCAATAAAGATTTTTAATAGCCTGGTGTGTGAGCCGAGTCATCTGCCCGGAGTTGGGGGCATCTGCCGACTCCCACACATCCCATGGGCCGCACGCCGAGCCCCGCCCTGCCCACGAAGGGGCGAAGGCGCCGGTTGGCTGGTCGAATTGCCTGTGATCTGGAGTGGAACTCGAGGTGTGGAAGAATTCCCAGAGCTACTCAGCCCAGCCGGCAGGTCTGTAGGAAGGTGGACCCCCCCTTTCTGACCTGGAGATTCCAGATGTCATCCTAGATGACACGGAGGCCAGCGACCTCTCCAGGCGACCTCACCCTCCCTGGTCCTGCGCCGACACCGAGCGTGCCGTAGGCGTGGGGGCGCTCCCCCGCTCCACGCCCCAGCGGCCCGTGCGAGGCCAGCGGTCCTCAGAGTGCTGGCAGCAGAGGTCCAGGCAGACTGGCCGCCCCTCCCGTTGTCCCAGAAGTGGAAGGTTTATTGGTGCGTAGATGTCATCCAAGTTTGGAAGCTGTCGTCATTTCTGCTGTAGGAATTTTTGCTTGGGAAGCATTTTCTAGAATTTTTCATTTCTACACTTCATCATCCCATTTTAGTCTCTCTCTCTCTCTTTTTTTTTCCTAATTACATAGACTCACTGCTTCTATTTCCTTTCCAAAGAGTTTCACTGGGTGCTAAGTGCTACTGGGTGTATGGAATATGGTGACAGACGACGCAGTTGCCGTCACTCAGGCTTAGTGTTGAGACAGACGCGGGGGTTACCTAGCAGCCCACGCAGTGGCCAGATGGGTGAGCCCGCCTGAAACATCCCTGAGAAGGGCCTGTCCCCCCTTTGCTTGAATACCCTGGAGAACTCACTACCTCACCTGATAACGCACTCCACTTCAGACGTTCGTTCCCGTGCCGAGTTGATCTGCCTTTCTCTGGAACCTCCTTTTCCGGGAAGGACTTCTCGGTTACTGACGGAAAGACAAAACAGGACAGCTGTGTCACCTAGAAGTCACACAGACACACACATCAAGGGCTCGTGTTAGGCATAGACTTCCCCCACCCCCAGCCCCACCCCCACTCCAGGGCTCCGAGTGGCACTGTGGGGTGGTGACCCTTGGAGCTGGTCGGCTCTTCTAAGTGGGGCCATTGAACAGAGCAGGAGAGGCTGGCAGGCCCCGGTCCCACCTGCCCAGCCCCCCCAGGCCTGGGGTGGGCTCAGTTAACAAATGAGGTGATTGAGGCATGGAGTGGTGGGGATGAGCTGAGAAAGGGGAGGCCCCCCCCGCCCCCGGAGCTGTCGAACTGCCCTGGTCTGTCACGGGAATCGGGCCACATAAGAAAGATGACCCTCGGGCAGGCCGAGAGAGGACACTGGGGGCAGTGCTGGGTCTTTCATGTTCCCTCGGCCCACACAGCAGGCCGCCCTCCACGGCCATCTTCCTGGGTGTGGGTGTGGGTGCTGGTGCATGCGCCAGGGAGGACCCCAGTGGGCAGGACTGAGACAGCGGGGGGGTCGGGCTGGGCCCCCAGGAGGCCAGACTCCCTGCTTTGCCGGTGTTCCCCAGCCCTGGGGGGAGGGCGGCGGAGAATGAATGAATTGCTTCATCGCCCTGTCCCCGCAGGTGAGCGGCAGCTGTGAGAATCCAGGCTGCTCCAGCCTTTGAACGGGAGGGCCCCTTTGTGGCCGCAAAAAACGATCCCTCCGCCGCACCTGGTTCAGCCGTGCGGGCGGGAGCTCTGAGGCCCCAGGGGACCCCGTCACCACCCGCCTGCCCTGCCTTCCCGGGCTGGTCCTCTCTCCTCTCTCCCCTGCCCCTCTCCCTGCGGCCCACAGCTGGGCACCCCCGTCCCACGTTTAGAAAACACTTCGTCTAGTGAACATTCTCTTCTGGGGCAACAGCTGGGTGTTTAGGAAATTTGTGGGGGCAGGGGCGGTGGCAAGGGGGGCCGTGGCTGCTAGTCCTGATTTACAGAAAGGCCTCCTCCAAGGACAAGGGCCGTGAACTGTGTTCCAGGTATGAGCCAGGGACTCGCCCTCACTTCCCTCCTTGGCACTGGAACCGCCCCTCAGGGCCCGTTTCCCAGGGATGGTTCCTGCCAGGCCTTCCGGCAGGGAGGTCAGGGGAGCTGGTGACTGTCGCCGAGCCGAGCCCCACCCTGCCTGGGCCTCTGGCTGAGTCCCCAGGGAAGGAGCAGAGCGTGCAGCAGGTGGCCGCCCTGTTTGCACACCTGTGGGAGGCCCTCCCCCACCCTGCTCAGCCCCAGGAGGTGACTGCAGACTCAGAGCCTCTGAGACGCTCCGCCTCCTGGCCCTTGGCCCTTGGCCTTGGCCTTGGCCGTGGAAGGGGGTGGGTTTTCACAAACAGCTGCTGTGCCGGTGTCTCCACGTCCCAGCCTTCACACAGCAGTCGTGCACGGGTGCTGCCCGTGTGCGGGCGTGCGGCACTCCGCACACCCTCTGCAGTCACGTGTGCGGTGAGTGGGTGACTTCACAGAAGAGAAAGTAGGTTGCGGAGTTTGCTGAAGGTCAGTGTGGTGCAGCCAGAACGTGGGCTCCGGCTGTCTGACCCCACACTCTGTGTTTGTAGCCACTTCCAGCTTTGACACGAAGGGGCGGGGGTGGGGTGGGGTGGGGAATAAATCCTGAATCACGGGGTTGCCCAGCGCCCTCTCCCGGGCCGGCTCTGAGACCCCAGGACCAGCCCGGTATTGGCCCTGTTCTCTCGCCCACCACGTCCTGTCGCGGGAGGTGACTAACGAACATTTCTCAGTGGGTCAACGCTGCACTGGGTCCTGGGGCCCGCCCTCACCTCCCAAATGAAGCCGCAGCCCTCCCAGACCGGACGAGAAGCTGGCCTGCCACCGGCTCCCCGTGCGGACCCAGCCGTCCTCCAGGCCGAGCTGGTTTTTCTGGAACCCACTGCTCCTTCCCTTGGTATGACTCTTCCTGCCACAGCTGCCCTCGGACCGTCCTGCCGGGATGCACACCTGCCCGCAGGTGAGGTCGGCAAAAGAGCTCTGACCTGGAGGCCACACCCCTGCCTCCCTACTGTGATCTCTGTCCCCTTGGCAGGTCCCGGCCTCACTCTTCTCATCTGTAAAATGGGAATGATAACACAAACACTTGTGCCTTTGACAAACTCTACACAAAAATGCTTTGGACCCCGTAAAACCGGGGTCCAAGGGTCTTCTCTCCTGACTTCGGTCAGACCATTTCCTGCCACAGGACGAATCTTTGTCTTCGCGTAGCTGGGGGCTGGGGAGAGGTTCCGGCCAGGGGATTGGGGCCTGGGTCTGACGCTTGGCCGCTGTGCGACTCGGGGCAAGTTGTCTAACTATCGGGAGAAAGGGGGAAACGAGAGCATCCTATGAGGCTGTTTCCGAGAGTGAATGAGAGGAGGCACGGGACAGGCTCATCCGGGCGACCTGCCCACAGCGGGCGGTCAGCACACGTGGTCCTCATTGAGTGCCCGAGACAGCGTCCCCCACCCGTCTTCTCTGCTTCCCGTCACTCACTCGGGGCAAGGCCTTGTCCGCAGCTCCTGGGGGGAGGCGGGCAGCCCCAGGCCCAGCCAGGGGCCCGTTGGGTGCTTTCTGCTGAGGATGAGAGGGAAGGGATGACCCTTTGACAGAAGCCCGGTTGGAGCTGCTCCCCACTCCCTGCTCCCCGCCCCCACCTAGGCCTCTCTGTGCTGGGCAGCTTTGCCTGGGGGAGCCGCAGGAGTCCCCTCCCCTTCCTGAGCCCGCACAGCACAGCAAGGGGGTCCCCCCCCGCAGGGGACCTGGTCGTGGCTGGCACTGGCAGGGAGGCGCCTGGAGGAGGCTGGGGGTGGGAGTCTGGTGTTCCAGGGACCCTCCTGCTTGCTCACTCGGCTCGTGCTGAAACTCGAAATAGATTCAGAGCCAGCCAGGGAAGGGGATAAAATTAAATCCTTTATCGTGATCAAGTGCTTAAAAAAAACACCCGCCAGAGGCTCCTTCCCACTGCAGCCGTCTCCGCCTCAGAGCCGAAGGGAAGAGGGCAGGGGAGATGCGGGGCCTCGAACCCGGAGTACCAGCGCCCTAACCTCCCCCTGCCCCTCAAGCCCCCACCCCAGGGCCTGAGGGTCCCTCTCCTACTTCCCACCCACCCCACTTCCCACTCCCGTCTTGCCCAGAGCCCAGCGGAGCTGGGATAAAACCCCTGCACACCTCCAGTGTGGTGGCTGCCATGCAGAGAAACCTCCTGCACTCTGGGCTCGGACCTGGGTTCGAATCCAGACATTGCCGGCGAGCTGCCTGCCTGGAGCCAGGTGGTAGGGGAGGCACAGGCTGGAGAGCATTTCAACCCAATAAAACTGACTCTAAGTCTGGTTTCCCTTTTTTTCTTTTTAATTTTGTCTCCGTGCACGGCAACGCTGACGCTGGGGCTGCCCCCAACCTTTGACCTCCTCTTAGGCTACAGCCCAGGTGGGCTGTGGGGGTGGGTGGGCTGTGGGTGTGTGAGAAGGTGGAGGTGCCCGCCTTGGCCATGGGTCTCCCGGGCCTGGCTCCGGCACCCCCTTGTGCTCTCTCCCAGCCTCCCCGCCGGCTCACCCGGCAGCCCTGGGCTCTTCCGAGGCAGACCTGAGGGACAGCAGGTGGCTGAGCTGCGGGCACCTGGCAGGGCAGAGCCTGTGGTCCCAGCCGGCGCAGGGAGGGAAGACGGAGGCGGACCTTGGCTGGGGACCTAGGACACTGGGAGAGGAAACAATAGGCGGTAAAAATAGTCCTTTGTTCACCGTAGGCCACACATCCTCACGCGTCCTGTGGGAAAGAACTCTCCAACCAGCCAGGGTGCCGCAGCCAACAAGAGGGGCCCCAGGCGGGTGGAGGGGCTGTCCCGGGAGAGGGGAAGGGGCCTGGCCCGGGGGAGGCGGGACAGCCCCCCCCGCCCCAGAGGGCCAGCCTCCCCCTCCCGCCCCCTCTGCTGTTTCCGCAGATCTTGCCACCACCGCCCCGAAGTGCCCAAGGCAGCCCCTTCTGGGCCACCCCTGGCCAGGCCTGTTGGGCAGCCCCCAGCCCACCCCCAACCCTCTGCCCAGAGCAGGCTTGTGGCAGGCCCAGGGCGGGCGGGCTCCCCCTGTCCACCAGCCCCTTCGCGTCAGACCACTCCCTGCTGGCTGGCTTGCCCCTTCGGGAACTTGTCTTGGGGGCGGCCCCGCTTCCCGGGAGAAGGCAGTCAGGCAGCTTTTCTCTGGGTGCACCTCTCCCGCCCCGTCCTCTGCAGCCGTGCTCAGCGGTCAGGGCAGGGGCCGGCAGGGGCCTGTGCATCCACCTGGGCCGTGGTCCCTGGCTCCTCCCCAGGCGTCAGATGGAAAGAGAGGGGAGCTGGAAACTGCTCCTGAAGAAGGAGACATTTGCGGCGGTGGGGGTGCGGGTGGGCGTGGGGGCGGTCAGGTCAGGGCAAGCCTGGGCCCAGGCACCCGGGAACCCATCCGGCAGCTGCCAGCCCTCGCTCGGGCCTGCTCCAGCCACCCGAGCTGAGCTGCGTGATCTCATCAGGGCCTCAGACGTTTGTCTGGGGTGTGGGGTGGAGGAAGGGCAAGGGGGGGTGTCCTGGTACCTCGTCCCTCCTCCGAGATGCAAGGAGGATGAACTCCTGTTTGTGTGTGGAAGGCTGGAGAAGCTTATGAGATTAAGCTGCTGCAGGTCTTGGGGCAGAAGATGAGAGTGGGGAGGGGGTGGGGCACCGCAGACCCAGGGCTGACCTCGGCCAGGGCCTGGGCGCTACGGCCCTCTCTCCCTCGAACCTTGGGCAATTCGGTCTATGAGTCTGAGCCTCAGTTTCCCTCCAAAATGGGGTGTGGGAGCCCTTGGTGCTCCTTCCTGAACACTCCCAGCTCTCTGCCTACCTCCTGGGCATCCGGAAGGACTGTGTCCTCCCCCTCCCCTCCCGCCTCTTTCCAGTTGAGTGTGGCCGCCCTGACTCATTTGGCCCGAGGAATGGGGGTGGTGGTGATGGGCCATTTCGGGTGGAAGCTTTCAGACCCACCGGGTCACGTTCCAGAGGCGGTCGCCCCTTCTGCCTGGGTGCTGGCGGCGCCCCTGGCCAGTCGGAGGGTGAGTGAGGAGGAGTGTTGCTCTGCGGGCCCCGAGGGTCTTGGACCTGCATGTTTCTACAGCCCACTCAGTCCCTCCTGACCACCAGACTCTCCGGCCCTCGGAGCTGCCGCGGGGCGTTCTGACTTTTGCCGTGTCAGAGAACACTGTCAGCTCCCAGCCAACCAGCCTCCCCGAAAGGCTGTGCCTGGGACCCGCCTGCTGTTCCGGAACCTGAGAAAACCCAAGTAAGGCTGCCCGCTGGGGCCCTGCAAGGCAGTGGCTGCCCTTGGCTGCCCTTGGCTGCCCTTGGCATTCAGGATGAAATTTCCTCTCCCTCTCATGGGAAGCCCAAGGTCTGGGGGACCTGCCTTCTGGGGATCTCGTCTACTGAGCCCTCTCCCCTCCGACTCCATGTACCAGCCTCTGGCTTCCTTTGGCCCCTCAGACGTGCTGAGCCTGCCGCCCGCCGCCTCAGGGCTTCTGTGCCTGCTGTTCCCTCTGCCTGCGATGTTCTTCCACGTGGCTGAGTCCCCAGGCTGCTCACGTCAGCTCAAATGCCACCCCCTGTCTCAGCCCGTTCGGGCTGCTACAGCAAAATATCACAGAGCGGGCGGCTCATGCGCAGCAGAAGAAATGTGTTCTCCGTAGTTCTGGAGACTGGAAGCCCAAGGTCAGGGCGCCAGCGGGTTAAGTGCTGGCGAGGGCCCTTTTCCAGGTTGCAGGTGCAGAATTCTCCCCGGGCCCTAGCGTGGGGGAAGGGGTGGGGCGCTCGGTGGGGCCTCTTTCAGGAGAACTGAATCCGGTTCTCAGGCTCCACCCTCATGACCTAAGCACCCACAGGCCCCGCCTCCAAGTACCATCACGTGGGGGGGGCGGTTAGGGCTTCAACATTCGATTTTAGAGGAGGGAGGACACAAGTATTCAGACCCGGGTCTCTACTGACCACTGTATTTTGCTTTCTACGCTCTGACATGCTCTTTCCCATTTTCCTGATTATTTTCTTTATCTGGAATAACCTTATGGATGAATTTCTTTCTTGGCCTAGTTCTCTCTTGAGCCTCCCATTAGAAGGTGAGCCTGTAGGGTCAGGGGCCCCACTGACCTTCCTCACCGCTGTGTCCCCAGTCCCTGACACACTGTGGGCTTTCAGTAAAGGCGCATTGAATGAATGAATGAATGAATGACCTTGACCTTGAGTTGGCTCTTCTGCTGAGCCTTCTGGGACCTACAGGTACTGTGACCCCATTTTCTGAACTGACACTCTGCTGACAGCAAGGAAACCTGGGCCCCATGGAGAAAGGGACCTCATCTCTCTTCTTCTGGCTGAGGCCTCGGGGCAGGTTTGGGGGGGCGGGACCCTGGCCCCTGTGTGGCACCCATATCCACAGTTTTGTTAGGCCTGTCTTGGCAGGTTAATCGATTCTGGGCTACTGAAGAGGCTCAGGGACTTGTTTTGGGCAGAACTTTTTGGTTTCCTGGCAACAGAAACTCAATTCCAACTGGCTTGTGTCATTGAGGAGGGTCTGAGGGTAGTTCATAAGATTAAGGCAATTGTGGCAGGAACCAGGGCCTCAGGGACTGGAGCTGGAGCCTGGATGCTTCTAGAACCTTCTCTCCCTCTAGGTCCATCTCTGCCTGTTTCTGCTCAGCTTTGCCTTTTGGTCTCATCATCTCCTTTCAGACTAACCTCCTCCTCTGACAGCAGAACACAGCTCTCGGCAGCTTCAGTGGAAGGAAAGTTTTTTCTCTCAGTGCCCCAAACAGTCCCAGAGCAGCCTCTGATTGGCTCTGCTTGGGTGATGTACCACCTGTTGGGCCAATCACAGTGGCCAGGGATTCAGCCATATTTTCTTCCTGTGGCCAGGGAAGGGCAGGCTATTGCAAGTGGGATGGCCACCAGAGCCACATACAGTGGAAGCAGCAGTGCCTAGAGTGTGATCAGGGACAAGCTGCCACTGCGAGGCTCTGATGCTGGCTGAACCCCAGAGCATGAGAACTCCCAGAGTCACACCAAACTGGGTGGTCAGCCAGCCCGGCATGGGGGAGGCGGAGAACAGGGATAGGAAGGGAACCTGCTCATGAACATCCCAATTTTCATCTTGCCCGAGGAGACCTGTGCCATCCTACAGTGGTGCTGGGATGTCACGCAGCCCTGCCTGGACAGGTAGGTGTCCCTCAAAAGTAAACCAAGTCTGTAAAACGCTGCGTGTTGTGTGAATTCTTCTAGAGCCACTGAGAAGTCTTGCAGTAAAGACATCCGTTTCATGTCGCTTTCCCCTCGTCTGCTCCACCCCAGAACGCCTCCATTTTTTAAGGATTCTGGGGAAACTCCCGTGAGAACCGCTGCTGTGGAGAAGGAGCACAAGATACAGAATCAGAGCTCAAGTCTGAGCCCTGCTACTTATGTGTGACTCCTCCGGGCCTCAGTTTCCCCCATCTGTGAAATGGGTGAGAACACCAACCGCCAGAGGGCTGTTCTAAGTGTGGAATGAGAACAGGCCTTTGACAAGCATCTTGTAAGCTGTACGGCTGGGCAGACGCCTGACCGTTACAACTGGTGTAACCTGGAGAAAAACACGTATGCTCTTTACCTTCTAAGGTAGAAGGCTCGGGGAAGACAAAGGGGAAGGACGTGGCGCACCCAGACCTGGCCGAGCCAGGGGACTGACTAGAGACGGGTGCAGGGGGGACAGGAGGGACTCCAGCAGCAGTGCGTTGGGGAAGAAAGGCCCCGGGGCCAGAAGCACAGAGGCAGTGACACTGATGGGGAGCCTTGGGGGAGAGGTGCCTGGAGGGGGGGAGGAGCCAGCTGTTGCTGCTGATCCCTTCTAGAGACTTCTGAACGGACAGCAATGCTGGCACCTCCTCTCTACACCCCTCCTTGTCCCACCCAAGGGACTCCGCCTGGGACATGGGTGGGTCTCTGAGTTTGCCTGGAACGCCTTCACAAAATAGCATCGGTGACTTAAACGTTAGGAATTTACTGCCTCATGGTTCTGGAGGCTGAACTCCACAATCCAGGTGTGGGCCGCGCTGTTCCTTCCGGGCTCCAGGCCTCCCTCCTGGGCTGTACGTGGCCGCCTTCTCCCTCACCTCTGCGAGCCGTCTTCCTCCTGGGCGGCCACGTTTCCGCTTTTTATAAGGACACTAGTCGTACCAGATCAGGGCCCTCCCTAATGGCCTCATTGTTCCCCTTTATTTATTTTTAGAGAGAGGGGACAGAAGGGAAAGAAACATCGATCGGTTGCCTCTCTCACACGCCCTGACCAGGGACCGAACCCGCAACCCAGGCGTGTGTCCAGATCGGAAATTGAACTGGCCCGGGCAACGGAGCCACCCCGGTTAGGGCCTACTGGGCTCGTTTTCACTTGATCGCCTCTGTGAGGACCCCATCTCCAGACAGGATCACACGCTGCGGTACTGGGGGTTAGGACTTCAACACAGGACTTCCGGGGAGACCCAGTCCACCTGGAACAGCGGGCACTCTCCCCAGGGGGCGTCTCCCTGGGTCTCGCCAGCCCACCCCCTTGGCCGAAGGCATGTGGATTGTGTCCTGCAGGAAGACGGAGGGCCTGGAATTGGGTTAATTGCCCCAGTACCAGATCTGCAATTAATATGCCATGGGAACAAAGAGCAAAGGCACTAATCGCACATAATTGGGCTTAAACTGCACCCTCGGCAGAGCTCTGCCACCGAGCCCCACTGTTTATGGTCCTTTTCAAATTAGCAAATTAACATCCGACTCCCCTTCCCCCCACCCAGAGCAGAGCAACGGAGGAGCCCCCGGAGGGGGAGGCCTGGCAGGCAGGCGGGCTGCATGCTGTCCAGAGCCAGGCGCCTGGGCCCGGCCTTTGGAGCAAGGGCGTCTACCTGGGGCCCGGGGGTGGGTCGGGAGACTGGGGTTCAGTGGTGCAACCATCTCCCTCCATTCCTGGGGTGGCAGTCACGTCGGGGGGGAGCAGGCGGCAGATGCCCCTCAGAGGGGCGGAGAACGAATGTTCTTGTCCCCTCTTCCTCCTGCTCTCTCTTGGCACACAGGCCCGATGGCTCTGTGTCCCTGTGGCCCTGGAGACAGACTGTCTGGAGTCCACCCTGCCTGTGTGTGCCTCCTGTGGCTGGAAGACACTGCCCAGGCCTGGAGGTGGATGGCACGAGCTTCAGTACTAACAGGCAGCCTGGCCAGTGCCAGGCAGGGCCTCCCCTGACCCTGGCACGCTGCGTCTGGGGCTCCCCACCCTGAGTTGCTTCCTCCAGCCCCCTGGCCGTGCTGTGCAGGCGGGCTTCCCTTGCCATCTCCCCACCGACTCCTAGCTGGGCCTGTGCAGCAGGGGCTCAGCGCAGGGGTGGGATTCAGACTCCTCGGCTGGGCCCTCCTCTCCCCCGAAGGCCACCAGATCGCCTGCCCCTGCCTCCCACGGCTTAGGGGAGGCAGGAGGGGCCCTTCTTGCTCCAGCACTTCCCAGCGCTTCGCCTGGCTGCCTTTCCCAGGCGGCTGGGCCTCCTGCCCGACCAGCCCCGCCGAGCCAGCCACAGGAAGCTCCTGGGGATTCGCAGGGCCCTCTGTGAGGCTGCTTGGAGGAGAGGACTGGCTTCCTCTGACAGACAACCTCCTCATCCAAACCCCTAACTCAGTGCCCTGGGATGATGGAGGGGGAGTGAGGGGAGGCGGAGGGGAGGCAGGAGCCACCCGCCTTCCTGCCGCCCCCTAGGAGTGCACAAAAGGCAGGGGCAGAAGTGCCCCCTAGATAAGCATCCCCTTCTCCCGGCCCTTCCTCCGGGCTGGACAGAGAGGAGGGCAGCGCCAGGCCTGAGGTGGCCAGGTTGCTGGGACGTGCCAGCCTCGAAGGTGACACCGACTGGGCCCAGGGGCACCTGACTCCGCCTCCCCTGTCAGTCCAGTCAGACAGGTGGGTACTTGGGCCTAGGGCCTCGGAAGGAACCAGCGGGGTTTGAACAGGCAGAGAGAAGAGGGTTAGTCCCTCCTGCCTGCCTGTCCACACCAGGGGTGGGGGCTGACCGAGAAGGGACCTAGCCGGAAGGACAGCCACTGTGCACTGAGCACCGACAACG